TGATGCAAGCAAATAAGATGATTATGGCCAACAGGCTGGAAGGCAATAAAAGAACAGGGAGACAAATAGATAAAAAGAGGATCAAAGAGATGGGTTGAAGAGAAAGATTGTCTGAAAGACCTCTAGGTCATTACTGAAGATGGATGGAGAAGGAAAAGTTTTGTTCATGCAGTTGCTAGTGGTCAGACTCAGAATAACAAGAGTTGGAAGGGACCTTGGAGGTCATCTAGTCCAACCCCCTGTTCAGGCAGGAAACCCTAGACCATTTCAGACAAATGGCGGTCCAGTCTCTTCTTAAAAACTTCCAGTGTTGGAGCATTCACAGCTTCTGGAGGTAAGGAGTTCCACTGGTTAATTGTTCTCACTCTCAGGAAGTTTCTCCTTAGTTCTAGATTGGATTCTCTCCTTGATCAGTTTCCACCCGTTGCTTCTTGTCCTGCCTTCGGGCACTTTGGAGAATGGCTTGACTCCCTCTTCTTTGGGGCAGCCCCTGAGATACTGGAAGACTGCTATCCTGTCCCCCCTCGTCCTTCTCTTCCTTAAACTAGACATCCCCAATTCCAGCAACCGTTCCTTATATGTTTTAGCCTCCAGTCCCCTGATCATCTCTGTTGCTCTTCTCTGCACTCTAGAAATAGTCAACTCAATTTAATAGCACTAAAACGTCCTATGTTCTTTAACTTTCTACTTGATATTAAAATAACCTAGAGTTGGATAGGATAGAAAACTATTATTATAATAATGGTGATGGTTGCTCACACAGTCAGTCAAATATTTAGATTGGATTTGACATTTTTATCCAATTGTTATTATATTGACAAAAATTGCCAGTTCTGTAACTGTGAAATCACAATTGCCAGTTCTGTAACTGTGCTGGCCTTCATAGGCATCACGTTCTTCCTAGGATGCCGTAACGTATTGGTATAATATATGTGTGGACTATTAATAAAATAATTTATTAATTATTAAGAACAGATTATATTGTTGTATAAAATAAATACAGAAGAGAAGGAACTGGGGGAAAATAACAAAATACAAAGCAAGCAGAAGTAGAACGGCTGTGGCAAAAAAAAAAAAAAGCGAAGGTAGTACCAATCGTGATAGGCATCTTGGGAGCCGTCCCAAAACAACTGGAGCACACTTGAACACCATCAGCAGTGACCAAATCCCCATCAGTCAATTGCAAAAGGCAGCTTTTCTCAGAACAGCTTACATCCTGTGACGACGCCTTTAACACCATCAAAACAACATCTGCCTATCCCAGATCTTTGGGAAGGACTCAACAGGCGGATAAAAATGCCATATCCAGCCTAAACATCTGGATGATGGTGAGAATCAAAACTGTTCTATTACCAAAGCTACAGGGGATTTTTTGTTGTTGTTGTTAACCTGACTTAAAACCCATAGTGGCTAAATGCAGGCCTACAGATGTAGGATACTTGCATCTCAAGTCATCCAAGACTCTTTTTCACTGCTTTCTGTTGCCTTAAGAAAAACATTACGGGTATAAATATGTTTAGGATTAGCATTTAGTTCATTGTGGGGTCTTTAATGGGGAGGAAGTGCAGACAATTTGGTTTAATTGTTTTTTTGCAGCAGGAGAGTTACACAGAGGGAGGAGAGAAAGAGGAAATAAAACACATATGAAGGTCTTTGCACCACACACAGAGCGCTGTGGTTAGGGCTTGTTAGCATTCCCTACAGACATGGAATTGATTCATGCTGAAAATAGAGACCCAAACAAGCGGGGTAAACCCAACTGCGATTCCTATCGCAAGACAAGGGAAGGCCGGGCCGAGCACCGTGTGGTCACTGCACCGGGCCAGGCAGGTGCTGGCTGACGTTGCGTAGAAAGGAAAGCACAGCTAGATGTGCAGCTGCTACTGAAACAAAACACAAACTGATTGCCAAGAGTCATAAAAAGATGAATTACGATATTTTTTTATGGGATTTACCAAGGAGACGAAAAGGACTGATCTACAGGGCTAAACATAGAGCCAATCTGGTCTAGTGGTTAAAGCACTGGGCTAGAAACCAGGAGACGGTGAGTTCTAGTCCCGCCTTAGTCATGAAAGCCAGCTGGGTCACCTTGGGCCAATCACTAGGAGACGGGGAGTTCTAGTCCCACCTTAGGCTTTTGGGCCAATCACTAGGAGACGGGGAGTTCTAGTCCCGCCTTAGGCTTTTGGGCCAATCACTAGGAGACGGGGAGTTCTAGTCCC